AAGTTGTACTATATCGAAAAACGAATTATCTGATATTCGGATAAAAATCACATTTATAAGAAACCCGACTACTTGACTACCGAAAACCGTATAAATTTAATTCAAATAAAAATCCGAAATATAAATGGAATTTATTTTTCATTTTGATCGTATACTACCTATAGATATTACATTGATTGAATAGAATAACTTCGGAAGCAATTATTTCTTTTTGCTCTTAGGAATATTAGATGAGATCCGCTAGCCTCCTTGCGACCTATTGAAAATGGATTAATATTCTTAGCCTTATCTTCGCTGAAATAACGTATGCGTATCACAGATATTTCATTCTTATTTATGTTAATAAATGGTTTTGTTGACTGCCCTGCCTTATTAAGAGAGATTAACTTCTCAATGTTTGCTGACCGTTGTTCTAGAGCTTTCATTTTCATAAAGCTCAGTCAGTATAAATATAATTATAAACTTTCTCATCCGTTCAGGATGGTCTGCAAAAATCTAAACGATATTTATAGTTTTATCTCAATATCGGATTCTTTAAATATACTATCTAATCAAGTCTTCTTAAAAATGAAGCTTCGGAGGCTCTACAAAGTGTATATATAAAATTCTGATTTGATTAAGTCATGTTTGTCCGTCTGTCCGTATACGTTTTACTCTTCAACTTCAATTTCTGTATCTATGAGGATTGCAATATTAGTGTGTGGAACTTAGCCGATCAAGACTATTTTTGCATTCGACTTTCACATGAGTTTGATTAACATTCGTAGCAAATCTTTTTGATCAATATATCAGTTCACTTATACTTTTTCGACCATTGTGATAGTGGCGATGAATAGATTACGTCCCGTTTCATACTCGGTATACAGTTGTCAATTACTAATATATACGCCGAGTTTCAGCTTGCATGCATTCAACAACAACAGAAAGGCATCATTGAATCAACTCAACTTTGCCGCAAGTCCAATGGGTATTTCTAGGCTTTTAAACGTGAGGATAAAGTTATCATGTTTCAATTATTGGGTTATGCAAATGCAAAAAGTACCCCTTACGCGTGTTCTTAAAAAAGTTTTAATTTCATAATCGCCGTATGCAATAGATAAGCATAGAAATATATACGATTTTCATCCGTTCCGAAAAAATGAAAAATGTATCATATCATGCGTAGTGGATCTAATAATAAGATGACTATAAAGCTAAGGAAGATTGCGAACAGAATCACTAACCTCCTATCATTTCAAGTCAAGATGAGAGCTAATTAGGTGAAATGGTGTAGGGTATCCAATAACATTTAGATTATCTGAGTGCAAAGAGTTCAAAGAAAAAAATTTCAATCATAACATGATTTAGAGAGCGGTGACGATGCAATGGTAATAAATGAAGGAAGCCCTTACATTATGTATGTGACGGAAAACCAAAGATATTGTGTATTTTGCACGATGTCTAAACAAACAGCTAATCAATCCAGATGTTTAAGAAAGTGCGCATACATACCAAAGGAAAGCATTTAGAAAAATGAAACAACGATGTAACATTTAAAACTATTGTAAAACAAACTGACGTACAGACGGAAACTGATTTTTAATTAGTCGATACCCGGTACTTTTTTGCATGCTGTACACAAGTTAATGCGTAGGCGCGGCTGATCATAAACCGTTTACATTTATTAAGGGATTCCCAAATAAGCGACCTCTGGTACTTTCCTGACAGATTTTTTCAAACTCTGCATAACCAACAATCTAATAAATGGATCCACTAGGTTACTAACGCATTACAATTTCATCTTAGAAAAGACTTTCGATGACGATACTAATAGGCATAGTCTGGCGTTGTTACCGTCCGCTAGGCATAATGTAAAATATTCGATGCTCATACGGGCTTTGATCATATTTTCACTTGAAGAAGTTTTTTATTGAGAAAAATCGGTGCAAATATTTTCCACCATTTTCTACAACTTTTTCCCATCGTTCCGATACCGATTCTAAGGAAAGATATTGGTTGTGGCAGCGATCCAATCATCGAACCATTTTCGTACTTCTTTAGCATTTCAAAATCGCATGTCAGCCAAGCGATGCTGCATCAATCTGAACAAGTGATAATCAGAAGCTGCTCTGACTTGTGTACGCTGGGTGCAGCAGGGTTTACCTTTCGAGCTGCAACAACTTGACAACTTTTGCAACGTGTGTCCGAGCTTTCCCAAGCAAAAGGATGACTTTGCGTCTGTTAAACTCTATTGCTGGTCTTGTTTGCAATAAAATATCGTTCAATTCAAATCAGTAACAGTTTGATTCGTCCATAGTATCCTACACTTTGCTGATCCCTTTATCTTCATTTGAAAGCATTTTCAAACACCAATGCCTTGTTGAAGCTGCATTGAAACAAGCGTTATGAAAACTGCTTTTGTACATTTGTCTGTAACGCCTTCTCTTGAAGGCTTTTGCATTATATGCAAAAATATTCCAATTTTCCAGTTTTCGAAACAAAAATCGCTTTTTAGTAGTATTTCCGCCATTCTAAATTGATATTAAAAATTGGGAATGGATGAAGTAACTTTTTAAACCCCTATACCCTACAACCTTTCCTGTAAAACTTGAGTGTTTTTATGGTAAAAGAAGCTTAATTTTAAATTTTTCTTGGCGAAAGTCGATCCATTATGGTAATTTGACATAAAAATTAATCTTACCGAGTTTGGGCGGTATAGCTTTATATTTTGAATCCCATCCCATATACGAGTTTTAATGAAAACGAATCCTTTATATTGCAAAAATTCTGGCTCAAGTCTGACTATTTTACCATGAAAAGCTGTTCGTAAGATTCATTTGATATAAAACTTAATTGTATCAAACTTGGATCAAACAAATCTATTGTTTTCGCATTATCGTATATGAGGCTTGTCATGTAATATAAGGTTTCGAATGCCAAAAAGTTCTAATTATTAATATTTTATAATGCAAAAAATTTCCGTAATAGTAATTTAACACAAAAGTTAATTCGACCAAATTTGAACCGCATGGATCTGTTTCTTAAACCTCACTCCATATAAAGTTTCTCATGAATAGTAAGCAAAAAGCTTAAATATTTTATGACAAAAATTTACCCATAATAGCAATGTGGTATAAAAATTAAGGGAAGGGAAGGGAAGGGAATTTATATCCCATAGGCCTACTTTCTTAAACCCCACCACATATAGAGGTTATTATAAAAAGTAAACCCTTATATCGGCAACAATTGAAAAACGATAAGATCTTTAACAAGTAAATTAAGTTTGATCACGTCCATTGATCTTTCGAGCGTTCCCTAACATTAAGTTTTTCACGGAAGGTCTGCTTTTACATGTACACATCTTGGTGCATTATCATGAAAATGAATGAATGTGTCAGAGGAAGTCTTACAAAGTACCGCCCAACGGTTTGCCTTGTCCGACAATAATGTTGTTACTTCTTATATCCTACATCACTTTTTGTATAACGATATATAAAGAAGGACTTAAAACAGTTCCACCTGTCTGTCGGTCTTATTTTTGCTGTGTTGACGTGTTTTGGCTCAAATATGAAAAGTATTGCAAATGGTTCGGATCACTTTTACATATGACGCCCTATTTTAAAAGACTACAGCGTGGTGAATACAATTACTTTGTAAACATTCCCTCCATCCCAAAGTAATTATCAAAAAAACGCCGTTTTTAAAATGATGTCGTGGTATAGCCCCTTAAGTCAAAAAAACCAATGCATTGTAAATTAAGGGCAACCCTGTACTGTTACTCAGAATACGTGTGCATGTCGTAAGTGCAAAAGCTACCAACAAAATCCAAAAGATGCAATGTCTCGAGCATCCTCATACCTTCACTGCTAACGAAAAAGCGACAAAAATTAAAACAAAGCCATTGAAAAGCAAGAATTCCAAGTGATTTTTTTTTGGAATATTTTCAACATATAAAGAGAGCGTTCGTAAAATTTCTTTCGAAACGGTTGGCTTTTTCAACGAAAGTGTTTAGCGAAATATAAAACCGTTGTGATAAAACCTCGACCACCTTATTCCGCCACCGTCATGGCACCATGTGTTTATTTCCAATTTCGTAATTCAAAACAACAACCGAAAGCTGCAATGTTTGCAACAATGGCTGCTAAGGTAAAGGCGAAAAATCGTAAAAATATTTTTTGAGAATAAAACGAAAATATTTTTTAAAAAATCATTAAATTCTTTTTATTGTTTGGTCGCACTTTGCTCAATTTTACATTAAATCAAAAGAGCCATACACATCGTGTATATATGTGTGAATATATATGTACACTCGCTAGCTAAGGCCCAAACAGAATATCATTTCTGTATTGTTTATGCTAACAAAGCACGTGTATGCTAAGAGAGAATAGTTTCCGCGATCCCCCAAAGAACCAAGAAAAAAACAAATGAAAAAAAAAAAATAAATAAATAAAAAAATGTATTATTAACGATCTTGTTGATCAGTCAAAATGATTTATTTGTTTTTAGTCTGTTATTAAGGCAAGACAAAACATCAACACGTTATATGTTATACTGTGGACGCTTTAAAAATCTAAACGAGTCTTTTAGCCAAATGTTTAGAAGAAAAATTAATAATAATAGGATTTGATTTAGCAAGAATTCGATCAATTTTTAAAAAGTGATTAAATAATTAAATTTTATTCATTTAAAGCATTTATTGTGTTTTCGTAAGAAACGTGATTTTAATGAGACTTTTGCCTTTTGCTTTGAGTTTGTAATAATAAACATATATAACGCACAATACACACAGTACTTTTCATATAAATGCTTACTCACTCTAGATTCTTAAAAGGTTCCTGTTCATTTTGACTTTGACTTACAACGCATTTGTGACGTTAAAGACAAAGTATTACTTCACTAGTTTTGATAATATTTGATAGGAATTCATTTTCTAATAGTTTTATTACACTATTCTCTATATATATATATATATATATATGTGTGTGTATGTCCGATTAATTGTTTATGGTTTTTTCACTTACAATTCTCTTTAGCGCTCTCGTCCATATCAGAGGCCTGGATTTCATTATCTTTTAATGAATTCATTTTCATATCAAAATTTTTCTTTGTAAATTTAATAGAAAAAAAAAGAAAAAAAAAAAAAAAGTGATTCAATACTTTCTTTAGTTCAATAAATTTTAAATCACTTCAGGTACATAAGTGTATTTTTTTTTTTTCTTATTTTTTATATATTTTTTTTTTTTTTTTTTTTTTTTTTTATGTTTTAATATATTTATATATATATGTACAGCAAACTGTCACGTCTTTCTTTTAATTCTATGTGATGTTGTTTTCATCAACAGTTTCTGTAAAAAACTGAATTATTCTTGAGTAATTTTAATTTTGTATTGAAAATATATTGCAATTCCTATTGATTTCTGTACTCTTTCTCTCTTTCGCGATTACGTTACTAAACAACATTTATTGTTTTTTGTTGTGATCGTGAATTTTTTTTCAAACAAAAAAAAGAAAAAGTCACTCGACTAGTTTTGCTGTATGACATTCTTTGGCCGTCACGTTAACATATAAACAAAGAAAAATAATATAATAATTATTAAGCATAAGCGTGTATGTATGTATATATTTAACACTAGACAAGCCCCCTCGACCTAAAAATTTTAATTGATCTTTAATGATTCTACGAATCCGGTTTTATGGGTAAGTAGAATCATATAAGCCCAACAGACCTCGCAGTTATTAATAATTACACTTGAAGTTAGCAACTGGTTTATCAAAAAAAAAAAAAAAAGAAAAAAAAAAAAAAAAAAAGTAAACACAATATTTTGAAAACCTTACGGCTATTTTAAAAGAGCCTATCTAACGAAATTTAAAAAAAAAAAAATACCACCTAGAGAAAGAGAATAATCCAAAGTTCAAAGTTAAAAAATCTACTTGATCGTCTCAACTTAAAACTGTCTGCCCTCGGTGGTTGTAATACATACTCACTTCACTTACCGCGCGAAAAGTTTTTATTGATCAAAAACACATAAAACACATACACGACCAAAACGCACTGAGTGCTTTAACAACGTATTCTTCAACTTGATCATGGAAAGATTATGTCTCCGTCAGGGTTCACTAACAAAAAAAAAGTGATTTTTTCTTTCGTAAATCAATTCTTTTTTCACAAATTCGAGCACGCACACGCTTTGCAATTTATTGCCCTTCTCGATGATCATCGACCAAGTTTAATTCGTACTTCAAAACATAATTTGATCCAAAATCACTTGCCGAACATAAGCACGTTACATAACAAATTATTTCATTGATCAATAATATCACTTATCGGCCGACCACATACGACAGGCTTAGAACAAATTTTACTCATTGATTTCACCTGTCCCTATAAATTTCCAACATGTTCAAACGGTTCTTAAGAAAGCTTGACTCAATTTTTGACGAATCAAATAAAAAAATTAAAGTTCCTCCTCGCCTTGTGTACTATTTATGGCAAGAGAAAGATTTTTAAGCGTATTTGCTTTTTTTTTATCACTCAGGGTCATTCGGGGAATGTACTCAGCTGTGGGCGTGGTAATGGTCGGCAAGGACGTCAGGTAGAAAAGGAGAAAAGAAAAGCGAGTAGTTTTTGTGAATGTTCGCTTCGAAAGTGAAAAGACCTGGAAAGGTGAGAAAAATTATCACTGGTACATTGTCTGAAAGCCTGGCAGTGCGGGTAAGGAACCGCATAGCGCGATAGTGCATCGTACGAACACCTTAAGACTGAACGGATGAGTCAACTGAGAAAGTTTAGCAAACCGGCTCAAGGACTTGATTAATGGATAAATCTCTTTTATCTGTGTAGAGCATTTTCACCGTATGAGACTTTACATTACCGCAACGCAGCCTACATTAAGCTGATGGCAAAGGATATCGAGAAGTTTGGAAACACTCTTGTCGTTCGTGGGCATCTGAGTCTTTTGCTGTTCGAGATTTTGCGTATGCCAATTATACTTTAATTTTAGTCAAATATAGGCGATGTGAATGTTACGATTATGGACTAAAATGAAGCATTTAAACTGCCTTGGCTATCGATTCCATCTTTCGACATTTTGAATGCATGTTCTGTGCAACGGAAATCGTTTTTTCTTTCGAATGTCTGATAGCTTCAAAAGATGTTTTAGATATTATTCAATATGCGGGCTTTCATGAGAAATATGCTTTGAGCGTGAAAATAATGTGCAATTTTTGGTGTCTTAATATCAAAGCGAGCGGTTATTCTTACTTGCTCCAAAGAAAGAAGAAATTGTTTTCACTATGAAAAGCATTTATTGCGCTCGGAGTTACCTTGCAAAAATCTAACTGTGCTATTTGCTCCGGATTCAATGAATATATATTTTTCATAGCAGTTGACTCTTCACTAATCAACGTACGATTTTTTTCATCGATGTTCAAGTTATGAGAAATTCAACTCATCAACATCGTTTACACCACAAATACTATTCGGTAAACCTATAACATGTCATACATAAAATTCAAATTCGTTTCCATGTCGTTTATTGAGAAGAACCTTCTTACAATACATGTATGGTTGAAAACTACAGTCAAGGGAAATATTCGAATAATCGAATGATATCGCCTAAAAAGATATTTAATAATTTATACCAAAATTGATCAGAAGGACTCCAGAATGGTCACACTTTTTATAAGATAATGCCACTCGAAGAGAGATTTAACGGTCACTAAAACATCATTGACTGAGAAAAGCTAACCAAAATGTTAAAACAAATTTTATAAACAGATTTGGAAAAAACGACTTAAGACCTTTTACTATTAATGTAACAATAGAGAGTCTTTAAATGAAAATTTTTTGCCTATTTTTAGGATAGGTTTGGATAATAAGGTTTTAAATAAATATTTCCGTTTTTTTTTTGTTTTTTGTTTGACCATAAACTTGATTCGATGGTCAGAGAAATTACGAATTCAGAAATATAGTCCTTGAACTGCTTACGCTTTACTACATTTGATTATACTTTACTTATGTAAATTAATTTCTATTGTTTTCTTCCTTCTCGCTACGTCCCCTAAAAAAAAATTAATTAATTTGTCCGGATTGTATGTAATAGCTAGAACGACTTAAAGTCGACCAGCTCTGAGTAGACCTTATCTGATTTGATTTAAGCTTGTCGGTCCGTCTGTCCACTTGGCCTCCATACAAGTATTTTTACGTTCCACCTGGGAATCGAAATTTTTGACATATTTTTACAAGGTTTGATACACTGATGTATCTTGACTCAAAGCCTAGTCCTGTTGAAACAATTTTTTGTATGTGATATGAATCTTCCTTTGATATTCCTACAAATATTCCGTTTTCACATTTTGTTGATTGTTTTAGATGCCTCTTTCTTTGTTAATCTAAAAATCAGATAAGAACATACAGTTCTTAACTTATTCGAAAAATTATTCACTTGATTCCATCATAAATGGCCCAAAAAACCAGACCGTATTATCGAGTAGAGATTTACTTTTCATTACTGTCCTTGAAAGGGATCCGAAGAGTTGAGTTCAATTTTCCAAACTTAATACATTACGTTAAAATGTTATATAATTTTTCTGGATTAACTCACTCACATCTTAAACTATTAAGAAGTATTTCTTAGTGCCCGTATGCCCTACACCACTTATGGTACAGCGTACATTAATTTATTGGGGATGATTGTAACACCCAGAAGGACTTGAGATAGACAACGGTGACTATTTTTACGCGTGGAAAATAAAACCTCACTTTTACATGTTAACTGCCTTTCAGATGAAAGCAAAAACTTCTCTCTGCACGGATAGTATCGTATCTTTAGAGCTGATTATCGCTTATCCCGAGGAAGATTGCCTAGTGGGTGCGTCATCAATCGACAAGTGTTACACCTTTACCGGCTGAGAAAACCCCACCGTACTGAAATTTGAACCCTCGAAAAATGACTTGGTACCCGCTGCTTCTACCTACTCGGCTAATCCTGAGGCATATAAATACTTATTGACAACTATTGTGGCAGACAGACAAACTGGCACTTAAATCATTTTAAAATTAATTTGGGATATGAGTTTATGATTATTAATTCGGAATGAATTGATCGCTCCAGGAATTACACATATCGGTGCCAGTTGAACTTAACCGAACAAGTAACTGCTGTGAGTTCATTGCTCATTAATTGGCAGGACACATGTTCAATGCTTATATTTATTAATTTCTTAATAACAGAGAGACAGTAAATAATGCCATTGTAAACTGATGTTTTTATTGGCCTTATCCATAGCATAAGAATAGCATAAGTAATGTAAATTTTCTTAACTCAATATTTTTGTGTATGTATGATTTTACCATCTCTTTTTATATAACATTTATTCTTATACTCATATAATTAACACTAGGCTTGTAAGCCGCTTAAGTAGCAAAAATGAACATAGTAAGTTAAAATTTAGCACAAACATTCCTTGATCGATTAAGAATATGAAATGAAAAAATGAGCGCGATCTGTTCACACACTCGCCGGCAGTGCAAAAGAAACTAAAGCACTTTTCGAACACAACGACAATTTTTTCAAATTGCGTCTATAAATTTCGAACCCATGAAGATATTTTCGACTGAACATCAAAGTGATCGTAATGAACATTTTCGGGCTTTCATAGGCTTTCGTTGCATTACCCCATTAGCACCAATATATTACGTACTTGTATTTTGATCTTCTTTTATCTTCAAAAAGTCGCTTATTGAGAAAAATTGGTACAATAGATATTAATAAAAAAATATATTTCATTATCATTGAATTTGATAGTTGTGTACATTGATGCTTCTTATTAGTTTATCATTTTCATCAATAGACGTCGCTGATCAAAATCACCCATTACATAATACATCTAAAGACATTAACTTCCTTACGTCGAATTTTTAAAGCCGAAAACCTGTCAAACTGCCGGGTGTAATAAAAATTCTGTGTTATTAAAATATTTATCCAAATAAAATCGGGGAATATCTTGTCTTTCAAAGGGATAAGCTTTTTCCATCTTATTTCTTCAACCCTGCCACTGATCTTCTTGATCGCTAGCTCTAACTCTAGCTTTCGCGAGTAGGCAAAAATCGATAAAATGACTTTTTATCTTATCGTTTTTTGTATCAGTCCAAGGGAGGAACATAACATAGCGTATGTTATAAAAAATATCAGCATTTTTGCGAAATATCAATAGATGTAGTGCGTGTGTACGGTTTTTAAATGCTACTCGATCTCATATCTTATTTAAAAAAGGAAAAGTAATAATACATTTATGTAAATCTTTCTATTTATTATTTATTTGTTCGTTCGTTTTATTCTTTCTATGTAAATAAAATATAAATAAAAAAATTTATGTACATACATGTTGAAACATGTAATCTTAAGTATAAGGAATGCATATAAGTGTAGTCACGTTATGATTAGCTAATGTATTAGAAATCAGACTTATGTGGATTGGATTATGACTGCTCGAAGGAAAGGACTCACAACTTTAAATTAATATAAAATTTATATAAAATGTGTGTGTGTGTGTGTGTGTGTGTGTTTTGTGTTTGTGTGTTTTATGTATGCATTTTTAGGTACAATTGTGCGTATAGGTATATTAAGCATTAAGCAAATAATTCAGTTCCCCGTCATTGAAACCAAACTGGAACGTCTGCGAGTATCTATTGGTATGCGATCTTTGGCTGGATTCGGTATGAAAAAACCTAAAAGTCCTGCCAATATTAACGAAACGCCCGAGGATATGAACGTAATCTCGCAATGATTGGTAATAAGAGCGCCTACAATATTAGCACCGACTACACTACCCAAGCGTCCCATCATCAAAGATATACAAACAGCCATAGCTCTAAAAGGCAAGAAAATCCAAGATATTAATTTAAAAATCGTTTCAAAACTCAATTTCATATTTATTTACAAACCTTAGTCGAGTCGGATAAAGATCAACTGTGGCGGCACTTAAAACATTTATACCCAATCCACATAGTAAAAGTATTAAATACATATAGAGGGCAAAATTCGGTTGATTGATAAGCGGAGCCGCTATCCCACAAGCACCGCAAACGGCTAAGCAAAAAACTGCAAAAAAAAAGTTTTTCAAAATAATATTAAAACAACGAAATCATAACAAACAGTTAACCAGTTAACTATGTTGACTTCTTTACCGATATACACTTATGCTCGTTACGGACACAGTGCATATGTAATATAAAATTAGATTGGTTCTAATGAAACAAATACACATTCATAATGATAAAATTTTATAAGGAAATCCGACAAGGACGGATGAATGTCATAGACAGTTAACCGGTTAAAGGATATATTTCCGTATACACTTACATAATATGCTACGTTTGCTAATCTTATTAATAATGCCGCCGATACAGGCGAAGCCTACAGCGTATAGGAATTCCAGGATAAGCGATTTTTGATAGGTGGATATGTCCAATTTTTCATTGCATCGCTCCATCATCGTGTCGGACACGTTTCGTGCCAACTCAAATTTTAAAATACTTTCGTGCTTCTCGTAAACCACATTGCATATATAGGCGCTACTACTCGGATTAGCGTTCATAAATTCGGCAACGCTATTTAAAATATCCGGGAACCACATATACATGCCATTCGAGGTAACAAATATCCAAAATTGTATGGTACATATTAATACAGTGGTCATTACATATTCCCGATTGAATAATGGCTGAGTTTGAGACCACATTGATTTTAATAGAGCGGTTATCGGATTTTTATCTCTCTCATCAGTAGAATGACGTCGTGTATTATTATCTAAGTCTTCGATTACATGAGCAACCTAACGATATCGGATAAATCTAATATAAATTTCATTGAATTTATTATATAACTTTTATTTATTTTACTTACCGGGAATGTTTCTTTTAACTTGCCCGTATTAAAGCGATAAATATCTTTTAAAACTTGCAAACATTGCTCTTCATGACCTTGACTTAGCAAGAATTTCGGACTTTCAGGAATTCTGAATAAGCTTAAACCGCATAAAAGGCCAGGTATACCGCACACAACCATAAATAATCTCCAAGGCTTATAGGTGAGACCCAAGAAAGTTAAGGGCAAACGCCATTCTTGATTAATAACCAACCAGGCGATGCCGGGCATTATCATAGCACCCACACCAAATATGAAAGCTGAGCTCATTATAGCGCGCGAACGATTCTTTTCAGTATGAAATTCGCCCAAATAAGCATAAATTGTGGCCGAACCGCCGGAAATGCTATATAAAATTAAGCCTAAATCAATAAATAAATATTTTCAATTAGTTAACAAACCCACCAAAATCCGTTAAGAAATCGTAAAATGACTAAAGACCAAAAATTTGTTGAAAAACTTGAAACAACGGTAAACACGAATCCCATTAGTAATGTGGGTCTTATAATACTTCGACGACCTGTAGTGTCAGCTAAAAAGCCCCATAGATGCGAACTGCTAATGATGCCAGCAAAACCGATCGCACTCATCACACCACGTTGATAAACTGTTAAATTAAGGTCACACTGCGATACAGGCAGCACAAAACTAATACCCAATGTCTCCAATAAAACATTCGCAAGTATTACCCCAGATATTAAAATCAAAAGATAATTAAATTTACCAAAAGCTATAACAGAATACAAATATTATTACAAGTCGTAATTTAAAATTGCATTAAATCTAGGAAATTACTCACTGGTCACTTCTAAGGCATTTTCAAAATACTCGGTGCCTTTACTTAATTCAGGTTGTCCGGCGATAATATTTCCACCCTCGACAGTGGCAACCGTTAATTTAGTTTTCTCAGCTAAAAGATATATAATTCCATGAACAAAGAAATGAACAAAAAAAAAAAAAAAAACATATTCGCTTTAGGGGAAACAGTTCAAAGAGATAGTTCTCACTAATATCCAAAATATTTGTTAAGAAAATTGATATTTTATACATGGACTGACACGCACTTAAAGGGCAGGGCGTTCGTTTGAGAAGTGTTGTAACATCTTCTTGTCAATTGTTGGCGTCCTGAATGATGCCGTGAACACACTGTCGATAACGATCGAGCCAATTTTTAAAGCTTTCTAAACTAGTAACGACATTTCTCGTTTCTATGAATCAATTTGTATACCCAACAGGCCGACTGTCTGACCGTCTATCATCTGTTCCTAAGACACGAACTTAGTAATTCCTATCAAATACTCTAAATAGTGTGTGAAATTTATACCTAACGCCACTTATGTTATACGGTATGTTATGATTATTTTGAATGGATCAATGTAACCAATGCAATAGGACTTAAGATGCAACCATCTTTTATTATGTCGACCTATTCAGTGTTAAACGTTCTCCAGTGATGGTTTCTTTTTGGATGGAAGAAACTATAATACAGTATCATCCATCACCAAAAGTATCGAAAATTGAAGCCACTTTTGCCGGACTTATTGCACAGAAGCCACAAAAGCCGCGGCGCGTAGTGTCGTAGTGTAATTGGTGCAAAATTTTAAGATAAAGAAAAAAATCATTTAATCTGTGTAGTGAACAGTGGAGAAGCATGGGAGGGATTCTAAAATATATTACTCTTTATGTGATTGGCGACCAATTTAATAAGAAAGATAAATTTTCGATCAAGAAAATGCAATCATTTGTTGTAATATACTAGTAAATGTTTCTTCATCGTGTTTTACTAAGAAACGTTATTTCAAAAATAATGATCAGAGGAAATATGCTGTGTGACGTTGTGAGAATCACGGATGGTATACTTTGGTGTCGCAAAACGACAGAGAGTTTTTAATACTATAGCAGAGTTCATATTTTCAGTAAGCACGTTAAATTTCTAGGTAGAATGACCAATTCCCTTCGAATCGCTCCCAGCCTCATATCAACTCACTCAGCGATCGACTCGATTAAACTTCACTCCCATGTTTTTTGCTTAGAAATGCTTTCGTCTAAAGACATCTTTTAGATTAGAGATTAAAGAAGTTAGAAATCAGAAGCAGCTAAGACATTAAGCCATAATATCGCGGCATGGACTTATTTATCAAAGGAAAAACTTGAAATTTCCAAAAGAGAAAACATTTCTTTCAAGTCGTAAACCTTTCTTTATCATATTCTCGAAGTTTCAAAGCATCTATTAAGTCAATTAAAGAATAAAATTGATTTTTGAAAAGATCTCTCAATCTCTGTATCTCTATCTCTCTCTCTCTCTGTCTACAGAGATGTAACCCATTAATTGATATGCACTCCAATGTTGCTTATACTTGTTACTGAGTTCTATTACATTTTGAAAGCTACAAAAACACAGTAATTAGAAGAGACCTACCTATACATGCATATATATTTAATAAACCATAGCAAGAAGAAGAGAAAGAAGAGGAATAAGTCTCTTTCTATTTAATCGTCTTTACTTTGGTAAGAAATTTCCCGAAATATATGTAAAACTATTTTTATTCACATCCACATGGTAAACATATTTACATTTTGATTTTATTCAGATATTATATATGTTTTATATACATTATATATTATATATATTCATATATATATATTTATATATATTTATTATATATATATATATATATATGTTGCTTTCGTATGAAACTTTATCTCACTTTCAATTACTCTTTGTAGACATTTCCATACATTTACATTTCACATTCCTGCTCATTTATTTTCTGTTTACGCAAAGTAAAGAAAAAAAAAACATTTGCGATCATTTAATTGAGCCGGCAATTATTACGAAGTGTCTTAATCATATTTCATAGAGATAGATGTTTCTAGTGGTTCGAGTGTCTCTCGTCTTATCGATCGTCTATATTGTTTTGTATGCACGCATACATATGCTTATGTGATGTACTACAGCATAGGAAACAATTCATTTAAATTCTGACATGCTTCATACTTTAATAAATGTACATAAATAGATGATAGATATATATATATATATATATATATATATATATATACATCGTTTTCTATAACCATTATTTACTTTATCTTTTCATAGGCAATATCGGAAAAAAGCCTTAAAGAGCTGCCAAAACATATTTTATTGTAAAAGGCATTACCAATTTTTATGTGCTTCCTTTTGAGTTGAGGTGAGAGAACCGTCTCTTCGCTTCAACGATTCTCTGAACATGACAATGTGTTTAGCATAGTAACACATCAACGAACTCGATATTTTTGTTCATTTGTTTTCTTTTGCGACTACTTTTCTCGCTCCATTACAATTATGAATTTCTTTATTATTTTTTAGTCGATTGCATATTTTGTCCTTACGTCCACACCATTTTTAATTTATTACAATCGCAATTGTGTTCGTTTATTTTGAGCACAATTGAGGTTCAATTACGACCACTTTCGCGTTAATAGATCAGTAAAAAGTCTTGAAAAAAAAAAAAAAATTCACATCACCGTACACTCTCCAAAATTTCTCTCTACCGATAGGATACAGATGTGTAAAGGATTAAACAAAATATTAAGGTTTTATGTTATATAGGAGTATTGGTCCAAAGTCATTGGCTGCGCGCCACTTCAACTAACTGGTCCTTTTGCTGTGAGTTCCTAAAATTGTCTCGAGAACTAAAAAAACCGAACTAAACAGCTACGTAACATGCTACGTAACTGAACAAACTTTTGGAAAAATATTTAACATAGGACATAACATAGGACATAAAGCGATAAAAGTGTTAAGTTATCGAAAATGAAGATTCATCGATACGTTTTGTTTTTCGTATCAGCATAAATTTAAGTCTGAGATGATTCACAATATATATCCCGCTGCCTATTTCTCACTTAAAATGACAAAAATTTCTGTAAAACTTTCAGTAAATTTTAAAAGTTTTCTGCATAGTTCATTATTGGAAAGCGAAGAAAAGCAATTCACCTTCAAACGAATTAAATAATGTTCAGCAATTTGAAAAATCTTTTTGTTGACTTGTTTTTTGTTCGCCGAACTATGTCGTACTATCGAACGAACCATGCCGTGCTTTTAAACTGTTTAAGCAAAGATTTTCCATGCCTTTGAATTAAGATAGACAGACTTGATGATATAATTTAATGCGTACTTATGCATACTAAAAATTAGACCCTTCGTCCGAAAATATGATTTACATTTTATGGAAACGTTGAAATTATTTGATGTTTTATCTTGAGTTACATTACATATCATTTTTCAATAAACATTTATTGGGAAATTAAATGAAACGATTAAGTGAAATGTTATCAGCTGAGAAATGTACTCATATATATAAAATTTGAAAAGGTGCAAATTTTTAATTGCAATGTAAGAAACAAGTTCGAAAGAATGTACGAATCTCTTTAATTCATCTAGTGAACGAAGAAAAGTATATATAACTGGACATACATTAGATGAGAGACAGTCATATTATGATCTTGCTTTTCCCCATTCTGTCACATTCATAATAAATTTGCATCTTTTGCGACTAATTTCATAAACATCAAAACACTCTTATTAGATAAGATATTCTCTGATCACCACGGAATTTATCTCACGATGCCTCTGCTCCATTCAAAATTGACCATTTTAATTCTATGACAAGTTGAATGCATATTATGCAGCTGTTGTTGGTGCAATTGCAAAGATCGCTGTTAACGATTATCTGGCAGTTTATTAAACAGCAATGGACTTCAACGGTAGTTCCACGTAATCGATATGCTTTTCTTAATTATTATAATTATAAAATAATAATTAATTAAGGTAACAGAGGGTCAATTAAAATTTATTATACGATTCAAGTTGAACTTAATTGCAATTTAAAATTTTTGGGAAATTTTTGATTCTTTTCCTTCTAAATGTAATGAGCATAGAGAATAAAAAGTGATTATATTTTCCAAGGAATCAATCATAAAAATACAATACATGATCATAAAGTAATATATTTTTGAAAATCTTTTAAACTCATAAATTGCAATTAAGAGTAAATTCGCAAAATTTTATTTAATAGTATTAACTTTGTGGATTAATTATTAAATAGATATCTTACTATATTCATCCATTTTATTGTTAAAAGAGTATTTCACGAAAAAAAAAAACCCCTTAATTATTAATATTCCGTAAAGACAACGTTAAGCAATTTATAGTCATTTAATTATTTTTTTAATTTTTAAAAAGAAGAAACACTTGTGATTGCAAACAATTTACTCAACGTATTGTTCCTTATAATCGAACTTCAATTATCAGGTTTTTTTCCTTATATTCCAAGAAACTGTATTCTGTTTTGACAGCACATTATCAAGCAATTATCAATTTCACTTCTCAATAGTACGCTTCTATTTATTTACATTACTATAACAGTAAATGTAGGAATCAGTTGCCTATTAATGGTAGCAACCAGCACGTATTTGTTTATAACCGACTATACGCATAATTTTGCATTAATGTTTGCATTTACCTTTTCCCCAACATCCCCCTAACAAACAATGCGAACAATTATATTAGATTTGTTAAGCATATGTAGTCGCGTTCAATATAAAAAAATGCATTGCAGCTTTCACAAAATATCTATGTATTACTGATTCAATCGTCTTACAGGCTCAAAGGTTGGGTTGTCAGAACCTATACGACATATGGTATAAGGGCAAATAAATTTGAACGGATGTACGCAACACTCAGAAGAACTTGAGATAAAGCACCCGAGCTTAGATCGGTCTAGAAAGTAATTCTCTGTCCGTCGGTCCGTTTTGTTTTCTTCTCTATAGCCTACAGGCCGTGAGTTTTAAAATATTTTAATGAAAGGACGAACGTAACTAAAACTCGATCTAGATCGATTCGCTTTCTGGATCGATCCAAGCTTCTCTGTCCGCCTGTTCGTTTTGTTTTCTTGTGTATAGCCTACAGGCCGTAAGTTTTAAAATATTTTCATGAAAGGACGAACGTAACTAAAACTCGATTTAGATCGATTCGCTTTCTGGATCGATCCAAGTTTCTCTGTCCGTCTGTCCGTTTTGTTTTCTTGTGTGCCGCCTATAGGTCACAATTTTTGCGATATTTCCATTACATTTCTTCTTCAGTTCTTCGATCCCTTCTAATAAAGGGACCTATTTTGAAAAGTCATTTATATGAACAACCACATTAAGCGAAGTGATCCAGAGTTGTGGCCCAGTATAATGTTTTTACTTGTTGAAAATGTTGGTTTCACATTTTTGGACTACCCCTGCTGCCAAGATAAATTCAAATATTAATTAAGTCAGCTATAATTGATGTTTTACTATTTTCCTAATAAAATGCGATCTTTGCTTAACCTTTTAACAGAAGTGTAACGAAATTTTCCTTTGTTGTTACTGGATTTTCTTACTCCGAGAATATATGCATATATGATTTTTCAATTATTCAATATTTGAGTTTTTAAGCAATCGACGACAAACACGCGAATATAAATGCGTTGTATCTGTATCGCAAACGGCAGACGGACAAATAGGAGCTGGAGTCTCTAAGCGACAAATTGGTCTTTGCCAATATATATCGAGAGTTATTCTCTGCTCCACATTCTTCTTGCGAAAAACGAACGCAATTATTTCTTAATATAAACGATTATATGCATATAATAATATGCACATAGATATGAATGTTTATGTCCACAGACCAAACGACAAATTGAGTTAAAGCGATCGATAACTATGTATATAAATATACGAAATGAAATATACTGTTTATGGTGTACGCAAACTTTAAAATCTCTAATTTGACGTTAATGACTTCTTTCTTTTCACTGTAAACGCTGTAGCGATGAATATACTTTTTCTCTTGTCATTATTAGTTTCAATAAAAATTATTCGTAAACAATTCATTTAACGAATTTGACCTCAAATAACGTAAACAATGTCTTTGAAAACAATGTGGAGAGGCATTCAAGAATGTCTCTCGAAAACTACCATTAAACGAATCGTAAATATTCACCACTTTAAGGAAAATGTATTAAAATTGCATTTCAATCAATATTATCGATGTTGTCACTATTCACATTCACTACTATTAAGGGAGTAGCTCACACCTATTGTGCCCTTTGATTTAAATGAAATGAATTAAGAAATATATGAGTTTTTAAAGCTTCATCGTAATTTTTGGAGTAAATTTGGAGGCTCGATATATTTGACATAACTGATAACTTAGCCATTGGTATTGACCGAAATTAAATTTCAACAATTTTAGATAACAGATATCTAAAAATTGTGTGAAGATCAAAATGTATATTAAAATTAATTAAAAACGCTATAGGGAGACACGGATAGTCATTTTTTTATCCTACACACTCCCACTAACAATCAGTCTTTCAAAATAAGGTTTTATATGGGAAGCAACCGAGAAAGTTGCCCAGTCCGAAGCATTTGCCATAGTGTTCGTCCAAATTCTATTACAACATATTAAAAATTCCAGTTAGACAGGCAGATGGATAAATAAGCTTAGAATCATTTTATTTTTTAATTGAAATTAATGCTATGGGATTGTCGTATTGACTTGGCTTAAACAGTTTTCAAATTTTTTTGAGATTTCACCTTTGGTCGGATATATAAGAAATGCGGGTTCAATCAGTCTGTTTTTAAGTTAAAGGTTCAAATTTCTATGGGGACAATTTATAAAGACTTTAAAGGCATATGCCTGACTATAGGCGCGTCTCTCGTTATGGTAAATGAATGAAATGGACCATTATGGAAAGCGCTGCGCCTTTAACGCAACAATAACACCACTCGAAAGTAAGTTATCTATACTTTGCGAGACAAGGATCAGTCTTATAAGCAAAACTTAGTTGGTTCGAAGATTGAACCTTTAACGCAACAATAACACCACACGAGAATGTGTTATTGAATTAAGCTCGTGAGCGGAACTTTCTAGGATGGCGTTGTAGTTGTGATGTATATAAGCAAGTTTTTTAGGAAACTTGGAAATACTTAATGGAATATTTCAAAGAAATTAATTTCGTGACCCATATGGAATATTTAGCGATACAGCAATCAGTTTTTCTTAGTTCATTCATGTCCTTTGCCTTTAGTCATTGAATTTAACCTTTTTTAAGAAACGAGAAAAACCTTGAAAAATGGCATTAAATATCGATCGATTATCAATTGAGATTATTATTTCATTTATATATATATATATATATATATATATATATATTTTATTAATGATTCCTCTTTTAACTTGAAACTGTTTCCATAGATTTATTAATTTTCAAATTTAAAGAATACTTACAGGCTACACTATCTTGTTTATCTTTGAATTCGCACATTTTGTTTTTGTTTTTTTTTTTAAGAATATTCAAAAATTAAAAATTTTACAAGAATTTATTAAATTATTTCACAGAAACGCACGCACACCAGCTCATTAAATTTTAATACATATTTAAGGTGTAAATCCTTTATATTTCCCCTTCAAGTAACCAACGCAGTCAATCTTCACAACTAAGCTGACTGATCTTGAATGGAACGCATTAAACACTTTTATAGGCAAACAGTGGAGAATAAATTGTAAACAATAGAAAAGTATAACTTAAATGAAATGAAAAGCGCAAGCGTTATACGTCTTAGACATGTATATAATGTGAAAAAAAAAGAATAAAATAAAGTAAAATAAAAATAAAATAAAACAAAAACAAATAATGAAAAAATCTTTATCACACAACTCATAAAAATTGTTAACTACACATGTAAAAGTAACAACGCGGTTAGTTTTATAACCATTGTAGCGTATATCTTATGCAGATTAATTTAATGTAAGTAAAAGTGTATTTTGAATTGTACACATACAAGGGCCTATATATCTATGAATTAAAGTTTTCAAATTTTCGAAAGATTTTACTTCAATACGCAAATAAAATGTTAAACGATGATAATCTATCTCCCTTACGGGGATAAACGCAAAGAATTAGATTCAATTATTTCTTTCGTTTTCTTGTTAAATTGCATATTAAGAACTATGCATAATCCAATAACAAAAGAATAATTTTTCTTAAGTTCTCATAATGAGTTTGATATATGTCAATTAATATACCCGTACAATCGCGTCTAGTAAGTCAGGTAAGAAAATATGAATTGAAGGAAAATTTGCACTTTTTAAGTATTTTAAGTAAGAAACAACACTATAATGGAACACAGCTTATCATTAAATACACACACCGCTTCGCCTAATACAGGCCGAAGAACTAGTCCGAAACGAACCATATTTAGCGACGTTTATCCTTTTATCAAAATATTTCAAAACTTACGGCCTATAGGCTAAAAACAAAAATACAAAACGGACAGACGGACAGACGGACAGACGAACAGACTGACAGCCAAGCTTAGATCGGTCCAGAAAGTGAATCGATGTAGGTCCATTTTTAGTGGCGATTGTCCTTTCTTCAAAACATTTCAAAACTCCCGGCCTATAGGTGAAACACGAAAATACAAAACGGACAGACGGACAGAGAAGCTTAGATCCATCCAGAAATTGAATCGATCTAATCGATAGAGTACCTATCTCAAATCCTTCCCGCTGTTGCATGCATCCAAACAAATTTCATATATTCTTGCACCACAAGGAATGTAAGATATAACCAACTTTTGAACCTGCAGGACGTTTAAATTGTTTACATTCTAATCATTCTGATCAGGCATATATATTCCTGTTTTGAGATATCTGCAATATCATAATTTTACCTCAAGTCGTGTAGGGTATAAAAATATAGAATCCATTGGTTAGTATCAAATTAACTGTAAAGTACGTTAGCTTAAGTTAATAACCTATGCATCAGCGGCCTCACTTATCCCAGACAACGTGATGATCACATTTGATCGATTAAAACGTTTCGAACGTTGTTCGCTACTGAATCTCTTACTCATTGTAATTCTTATCTATTCCGATCATTTCAAAACAATCTTAATATTGATTATCATTTTCATCTGTTGCTTGAAAATTGACAACAAACAAAAAGAGTATGACCGATCGATGATGGGAAGAACATCTTGACTGAAATATAATTGCGATCTTATGAATAATATGAAATGCACTGACACTATGCAATTTGTCTTTAAGAATATATACAGTTGGTGTATAGTGTGGCTCCTCAATTCCAAATTTAGAACGCAAAAATCTTATTATTTACCTCTTAACCAAAACGATGCAATCATTCATTCGTGCGTTTCCCTTTCACTAATACAAATTAAATAAAATGTATTGGATATGTTTTATCTTTTGGTTCTTTTCTTAAAAGCGAAGAATTTTTCAAAATTTAATTCAATACGTAATCAGTATTTAGAAGCAAACATTTTTAAAATATTATTATTAAAGTAAATGTCTAATGTCGCAGTAGTTAGTTGCCAAGTTACATGAGTCTGAGTTCATTCATATAATTTCAAGATAAATCCAAATTTATAATTTTTATTTAAGTTACAATCTTATTTTCACTTGTTCTACCTTATGACAAGCATTTTATTGCCATCATATATGTGTGTACACAAACTTTTCTCTTTCTAAAATCTCTTATCGTCATAATAAAGTAAGAAGATGTACATATATATATATATATATATCACATTTTAGTTATATTATAGTTGTTGTTTTCAACGAATTACCGAAATCAGTGATTTTGTTAACCTAGCAGAAGCAGTTTCTAAATAATCATATAAATTGCTTTTTTTATATGTGCGTACGTTAAAACTATCTAAAATAGGTGTCAAGACCCGAGTGAAGCTTCACATATGCTTCGTTGTAGTGACAATGTGCCAAAGACTACTAAACTGCTCCAATGATGTCCCGAGCTGTTATAAATGATATAAGCAATTTTATATGCAAGTCTCCGAAAGTTGCATCGGCCCTGTCATGGATTAAATTATGAACGAAACTAGTCTTTAGAAGTCGGCTTTACTCATCTAAGCTAACTTGATTGATACAATCATTGTTCGGAATATATTCATTTTGTTAAAACGTTTACCACGCCCAGAAGATATAGATATATACCAATATATACCAAAATTCTGCATGTCTGTCTATCCGTCAGTTCCGACCTCCAGTCTATGCATCGGATTGTGGTAAGCATTCGCTTAGTCGCAAAAATGGAAAATTGACAAAAGTCCTGGAAGTTCTTACCGACGGATTGCTAGTGCGAAGCTATCAAAGATCGCGCTCCCAATACGAAATAAATTTGTGTTTTTGGAATTTGTTATAGGTTACCATATATATATATATAACAATACAAATTTTCATTTCTATTCTATGAATAATCCTATGACATCTGTTAGAAAATTTACAACACTCACTTTATAATATAGGGTACCAAACTTTTTTGCCATTTTTATACCCATCACCGAAGGATGAGGGATATATTCATTTTATCGAAACGTTTGCACAGCCCCGAAAAAAGCATCAGAAACCCCATAAAGTATATATATTCTCGATCTGCAGGAAATTTTAAATCGATTTAACCATGTCCATCTGACCGCAAAAATGAAGCTGTCGACTTCACATTTGGAACATTGGAAGTTCTTGCACGCAGGCTGGTATTGAAACAGTAAACGGTCATGGATATAAAAAAATTCGGTCCCAACCGAATTTAATTTTCTTGTTTCTTTTTTTTAAATTTATTTTAAGATAAGTGTGAGGACTTGACGGGCTAGACTTCAGATGCTGTGCAAACCAAAATTGTCATTGCGATATTATCCGCGTTGCCTAAATTATTGGAAAATCTTGTTACAAATAGATTAGTATTAAATCTCTCTTCTCTTCTCTTACAATATGCTTGCCTTTCCTTCTTGAGTAAGGCACTTGACGAAATTAATCATTAGTCATTAAGTTAAATAAAATTAGTTTTACCCATACTTTTACCCATACATTGGTTTCGTTCTTACGGTGTGGATCATACTCAAAGAGTTTTAATTAAATCGCACATGTCTGACCATACGCCGATGAAATCTTTTGTTTCATAGTGGAACCATATAGGCCTAACATAGTGCAACATTGGAAAGTACTAATGTATACTGATGATGTTAAGCGTAGAACGTTTCCGTCTCCTTGAATCAGATCTTATTTTACTGCCGGAATGGTATAAGGTAAATGGAATGTCGTTGAATATAAAAAAACATAAGTGCATGACGTTTGGCAGAGAGTGCACTATCAATATTTCTGAACCGCGATTTATTCGCCCAACCACAGTTTTGTTCTCAGGAAAATTGCAGATAATCTGGAGCACCCTAAAAACAATTCACATAAAGGTTTAGTCGAGCCTCATTGAATCCGCCGCAATGCGAAATTATTTCACCTACACTCTACCTAATGCTTTCAAAAATTTGCAAACAAGCAAAAATGGAGTGTCAAAAAGCTTCGAAACTCTTCCTTACATTTCTCGACTTATTCTCGGCAGTCCTCGTAACGGAATACCCTTGAAGAAACCGTTATATATATATGCACCACGTAAACTTTGTCACGCAAGCCTACATGCTAACAATATTCATATACATCGCTTATAAGCTTATGTTTAATGAAACCGAGGTTCCCGCCATGTATATCAAGAAATACATTAAAAATTAACCGAATAACAAAAAAAATTTATTGATAAGACAGACGAAAAATAAGTATTATTAAAATGCCAGTAACAAAGGCATTAAGAAATACGACTAATACATATTTTTTTTACTTTCGCAAAAAAGGATAAAACTGTGTTTTACAGAATAAGCGATAACCAGGCGGCTATAAGGCAGGAACCTCCTAATGGAGCAAGACGTGGATATGGTGGTTTATTTCCAGTGAAAGCGCGATAATAAAGCGCACCGCAAAACAGAGCAGTGCCAATAATCATAAGAGAGCCAGTCTTAATATTGCAATAAATGTATGAAAAATAAAGGGTATCATCATCAATCGACTAATAGGATATTGTATGCAATGATAATAACTTACAACAACAGGATGCTTGGTCGAAGGCACAGCTAGGAGAGCAATAGAATGAAAGAAATGAAAGCGATTGGCTGTTTCAAAAACAGTTTTTAATTCTCCTTTTTCCGGTAGAACAAGTTCATGGCTGCCAATGGCTCCAAATATTACGGCCGATGCTCCACTTAATCCAGCCAATCTAATAAAATTGTAATTTCGCCCAGCCAATCTCCATAACATGGGATAAGAGGTTGTTAAAACCTGTTTTGTAGTATTCACTATTTTTTCGGGCATTTCTGGAATATATAGTTTTTCAAGCTCCTATGGATGTAAATTAAAATAAAAATGAAAAGAAAATAGCATTTTCGTCAAAAACATAAACATTTTTCTTACGTTATTTACCGTAAAATTCTTCCCACCACCTTTACTTAACAATGATGACGTCGTATTAATAAGTGCACTGCTCACTGGATTGCCAATAACAATGTAATGCAAAACCTCACCAAGTGTCATTTCGCTGTTGTGTTCCTATTTCTATTTTTGCAAAGTTTTCGATATGTCTTTAAGTTTTCGTTTTCAACACAAAATTTATTGTTTAAATGAAAAAATGTAATATTATCTGTAAATTTATGAAATTATCTGACGTGAAAGTGCTAGGAAACGATTGACAAGAAAAACATACTATTCTGACTTCACATTAAACAAAGCACTCTATGATAGACATATATATATATATAAATATACACTCTTTCAAATCTTTGCACCGGTTGCCGTTATCGGCACTTCGCCTTCCGTTATAAAAAAGAAAAAAAAAACCAACGAAATGAAATGTCTTTACACTTTCCTTTTTTTTGGATAATAACAGAACACAAGCAAAGATAAATCCTTTTAACACAGGTATGTTATGAAAACTGAAATAAACATGCAGTTTTAGCAGCGAACATTCAATTGCATAGATTTTCCTTCTTAGGAACCACTATACTGTTAAATCTAATTTGGACCATTCCGACAGATAATAGCCGTTATAAAAGATCCTTTTTCAATGAAATTTTATTGATTCCATCAAATAATGTTTTCTAAATATTAGTTTCGATTTTATAAATCAAGAAATTTTAAAAATATGTTGTTTTCATTGTACACTAACACGAATTGACAATACGAAACCTTTATTAGTTACTTATGTTAGAAATTTTGCAGCGACGATACGCGGATTGCATTGGCAGTCATACTGATGACGCTTTAATTGGGTACCTTAGTGCATTCTTTTTTAAAAATATTTGGAATCAGTTTCATTAAAAAATGTCACGCTACTGCAGCTGGGCGCCGTTGCAAATATGTAGAAGTGAGTTCGCGTAAAAAACACTCAAAACCGTCACGCCTGTATTGAATTTGTGGATAAAGCTATTGAGAAGAAACAAGACAATTATTGACAAGATCGATATCTGTTTTTTATTTCCAGCGTTCTTCAATTATCGGCGAGAACTTCGCATTGATTTCTGGCTTAATTTGGCCACTGATTTAGTACATTTCAATTACACGGATTTGTAGTACAGAAATATGATGATAGGTAGCCAATTTCTCTCAAGTCGATGGTGCCAGTTTGTAGATATTTGAAATTGAAGGACAAACGATTCTTTTATATCTCAGAGAAATAAAAATAGAATTTGAAACTTACATCTTATAAAGTGTAATTTATTCAGTATAGTAAAGAGATAATTCATAATTTAAAATTAACATGTTGAAGTCTGCAACGATTTAATTTTAAATAGAGTCTTAAAAACTAAAATACATTCAAATTCCAAATATTTAATATTTGTCATTTAATCGGATCGCCTCAACTTTCAATATTTTTGTTATGGTGCGAATAAAATCGTAAGAGCAACTATCGAAAAAATTTTATTATCCCTAACATATATTTCACAAATTTCCTAAATGGGCATAAACGCAAGGATGGTGAATAAAAGTACTAAAGTTAAATTAACTGGCAATATATGCAGTACGACTTCTTTGCAAAATGGCCACTTCTCGCTCGTTCATTTCATTTTTTGC